AGTGTCTAAATGGCGAATACTGAGCTTTCTGGTGCACTCATTTATAACATAACTTTTTCTTTGAAATTTAACCGTAACCATGTTGACATATTACAATCAAATCAGTGGAAATAGCCACAAAGGGTTAAGACTCTACATTCTATTTCAAAACCGGATTCCCTGTATTCATAATGGAACTCAGCGACAATATAGTGGATTAATGTTCTCAGAATATGAGCTTCATAATTTCCTTGCGTATAGTGATCCCTAACTGGCTTTTTTTAGTCATAATTCTATAACTCCATTATTTTTTGTCAGATTTCCTTGTTTCTTCGTATTATAGCAATACTACTATATATACCCTGTTATATGAGCATTGAATATATTATCAGAAATAATATACAAAAATAAATGACACTGTGGTAGATGAGGTGACATATCATATTATAATATTCAATTTTTTTTCGAGCATTAGAAATTCTTGTTTTATTCACCTACTAAATACATTATATATATGTATGTATTAAGATATTATACTTTATGCTTTTTTATATTGATAAGTTTGAAATTTGGTTCATTCTACTGTAAAACTAGTTTCTCAAAAATTGATGGATTTTTTATTACCAAGTTCAGATAATGCCAATATTATTCGACTTTCTTCGAGCAAAATAATATTTTCATTTTTTTAATATTTGTACATGAAACACGATTCAGAACTTCAACATAAAATTTAGTATTAAATTATTTTATCTTACTTTATTTTTAATGTGGACACTTATTAGTTAATTCTCGTTTATGAATTGTTCTTCATTTTCCTTATAGTTCTTCATTCTTATAATTGATAATTTTTATACTGTACATTCTACATTTTTTTTTTCTTTCCTTGTTTATTTTATTTGATATATAATATATGACACAGAACTACATTAACGTTTATTGTTAATCTGGTCATGATAATTATTATTAGAAGTATCCATCTCCCCAAGGCAAATGGCGCATGCTCCCCCCTCCCTCCTCCCTAAAAAACATATTGTTGCCCCTCTCACTCATATAATTAATATCAATGTGAGATGTAATATCAATGTTAGTTTAAAAGATTGTAGATATAATATTGGTGTGTTTGTCCAGAATATTAAAGGCGCAATACATGCGGCAATTACAATCAACAAGCAAGATCAGTAATATTTAGAGGAGGCAAAGCTCTCCCCTGCCCTCCTCTGCGTATGCCCATGCCAGGAATTCATTATTATTTTGTTTTAAAATATTTTTTTCCTTTTAAATGAGAATCTCATCTGAAATAATTGCGAGAGCGTTGTTACAAGAGGGTACATTATTTTAAAATAGGGGGAGGGGTAATCAATTTGAAGATGGAGAAATTAGTTTTTATTTCCTAATTAGTTTCTTTTAGAATGTTGAAACGACCCATCACTGATGATAACATTTCATTAGTTATCGTTTTGTTGCTACATTATTTTAAATTTGTTTCTGTATCGTACAACCAAAGATAAGGCATTAGTTGTATTTATTATAAACACACAACACAATACAATGAAGGTGCCGCACACCGATATTTCAAAGAAGCGGCGCCATTTGAGTTAATGCTGAAACTGGATAAACGGAAAACAATGCCCTGCTTGTGTTGAGTGAGTACTTAGAATAAAATCTGCAGCTTTTCCAAGTTTGCGGCGTCCTTAGATATTTTTTTATATACACGCAAACCTCAGCGTGCCAGTTTTTTCTTTATTTCCTGGTTTAAATGTTCTCTGAAAATTGAAAATTTAATGTGTCCCGAAAAATTGCGGCTTATAACCTCTGTGGGCACCTCTGGTTATTATCATGTTTAACAGATATTGAGAAACGTCGACAAATATTAATTGCAAATCAATGGTTCCCGATGAGCAAACTAAATGTGTTTTTTTTACTCAATCGACGCGTATGTCTGTCTTCTAAAAAGTGGAAGATTATTTTAGTGGACATCAACAAAGATTTTATTAAAATTCAGTGAAACCTGAAATTATTAGTTAGCCAAATTCAGCCTCTATTGTACATATTTTTCAATAACTTCTTTAATTCAACAACGTGCAATTGAACAACAAGAAAATCTGGCACTGGATAGCTTACTCTACAACTCTTCCATTCCATATAATCGGAGGGATGGAGGAGGGTCATCTTTATCTTTCTTAATCCTTAATTTTATTGATTTAGTTGGAGTGTACAATATTTACGTCAATAAAACATCTAAGCAACATAATTATTAAATACTAATAAACTGATAGGATCCGGCAAGACTCTTGCGCAAGACCAAGACCAAGACGAGGAGCGAGTGCGCTAGACCAAGACGAGGACTGAGTGCGCAAGACCAAGACCAAGACTGCCTCGGTCTCGTCTTGGTCTTGCGTTTGGGCAACACTACTCACACTGTAATTTTATTTTTTCAAGAAGTTAGAGTGAACCTATAACTTTTTGAAGAAAAAATTTTATATTAAAAGTATAAGAATAAATTTTATAATGCGAACTTTTTCTGAATATGTTTGCTAAAGTTCATTACTCTTTCGACACCTCTAAGAAACTAATTCATTTCCATAACTGTCAGTTCGTCTATCTTTGGACGAATCATTTTTTTTTTTTTTTGTCATACGGAATACGAGTTTGTGGGGTGGAAAGTTTGTTCTAAAGGTTCATCCAAATCTATTCTACCTAGAGGAAGAAGGTCAAGATCTATTCCCTGGGTCCGCCGCGAAATAAACTTCAACCTGCTCAGGTAGAACTGATTTATATATTACAAATAATTTGTCGGTTTATAGCCGGTAAATAAAAGTTACAAAGAACTGTTTTCATAGAGTTGAACTTTTAAAAACACATTTGTGAATTTCGAACATATTAATCAATGCAAAAATTCCTTATGTACATCAAAATAACTATATACCTAATATTAAAGAATATGAACTATGGGTTAGGCATCTAACTACTTGGTGATTAAATTTTCTAGGATCTTTTTACTTTCACTTACCGTTTCTTTTTTTTTTTTTCGTCCTCCTCTTTCTCACAGGCTATACGGTCCTGCAAAATGGTGTGTGTGTGTGTGAGTGAAATTGCATATTTAAGGTTTTTATATACCTGGGATGTTACAGCGACTTTTTTCGTCAAAATTGGTAAACCGGCAGTGGCACTTTATATTATTGATTTAACATATTTTTACGATTTTCTCGAAAACAGCTCGAACGATTTTGTTTAAATTCATTATATGAGTGTAAAATTAAGCAGTTTTAAATGAAGTGTAGGTTTTATTATGACTGATGTTCTCTAACTAAAAATGGCTAATTTTCAATATTAGCTTCTCCTAAAGTATCTTTATTTTTTTTATTTGAAACAATTGACCATTTCACATTGATCTATAATACAAATGATGGTTAAATATGAAATACGAACGAATTTGATAATTAATTAAAGGAGAAATAGGAGATCCTAACGGAGAATAGTCGTAATTGAGAAACCAAAGCAATAAGAGCTCGCCCCAAATATTAGAACTGACTTTCATACGTAACATGAGCTTAATATGATACGGACTCCGACAATATGTACATATACACATGTGGTTTTCATAAATGCTATCGTTGGTATTATTTAATATTAATTGTATAGATTACAGCGATATAAATATTAAAATGTGTATATATCAGAGTACTTAAAAAAAAAAAATACCCACATTAAAATATAAATAAATTTGAGATAGCGAAGTATAGATACCCATTTTCTAAAATATTACTTTATTATTAGTGCAAATAATTGGTCATTCGTTTAACTGATAACAATTGACCGGGTTAGTTGTAACCTTGATCCCATCACAATAGGAAAGTAAAAAGTGATCTCTCATCCACCTCGGTTTTAAGTTCCTGCTCATACTCTCTAATATATAATTCAATATTTCAAGTACCTGTTCTATCAGCGCTAATGACATCTTGCATGCAAGAGTACATGTAAAAAAAAAAAAAAAATGTACAATTTATTAACACAGTTACATTTTAAATCAGGATAATATTTAATTACTTCAATATCTGTAATTTTTTAGCAATTTTGGATCAAAAGCATATTCTTTAACTATCAATGTTTTGCGGATTCCTTCATATTTTTGTTCGTTTATTATGTTTTTTTTGAAATTTTTTGTAATTTTATTATTTCGTCGTCTAGTTTTATATTGATAGTTATACTTCTCTTTGAGAAAATTTACAGTGACAGCTTACTTTTTGGTTTTGATCTGTTTAAGGTTATTCACAAATATTATAAATTAGCATTTTTTTTTATTGTGAATATAATTTGCTAGGGATAGTCCTTTTATATGCGGTTGAATGATTTCTACTGTTTATTCCTTGAAGACGATCATATCAGAAACAAATATGAGTTGCATTAGCTTAAATTTTAAAACGGTCAATATTTTAAATTTGAAACAGTTTAAGTTGAAGTTTGAAACAGTTTAAATTTTAAACTGTGACTAAGCTGAAGAATAAAAGGAAAATTATGAAATGTTAAAAATACCTCCTAAGAATTATCTTGTAACTTATACCTTGCCTGTCAACCAACACCGTATAATGTGATAGAGAGTCATAGTAAAAAAATACATTTGACACAATTTTTAAAATTAAAATAGGCGAAATCTGACGAATTTCATTCATCCATGATAAATTATTTAATATAAAATTCTTGACAAATCGTTGAAATACTAGATAAATATGAACGAATAGTTTTTAAAGTTCACGATAGAATTAAGAGCAAACAAAAGTCCTATATATTTATATTATTTAATTTTAAAAGAGGAAACCGGTTTACCGGATTGAAGCCATAGTAGCAGTAATATTAAGATCAAATCGCATCCCCTATTTTCAAGTAGGGCTGTTTTAAACGGTATGTCAGCACTTAGAACCCATTTAATTTCTACTAATTAAATATTTGTAAAAAAATACAATTATACAAGTCAATAACACTAATTTAAGGACAATGTATTGAGATAAATTCGTAGTCGATACCTGATTATGGGTAAATGCGGTCCCAAACGCAGGATTAGGATCCGGAAGAGTAGATAGAATGGAAAGGACACTAAAGTCGAGCATTAAATACAGACACGATAAATATAAGGAGGCTAAGAAGGGCAAGTGCGGCTGTAACAATGTAACATGTGTATAATACAGTGGAGTGGGGGTGGAAAGGAGGGGGGACGGAGCACGAGAGATAGAGAACGGGCTAAGCCAGATTTATTATTGTCCTTTTGTTAGTCCGTTCTTGAGAGGAGGGAGGACAATAGAGAGGGAAGTGGGGCGGAGCGAGCCACCCCATTGGTTGGAGTTGGCCACGCCCCATCCTACCCAGCAGCAGCCAGGAGGGGGCGTAGCGCACTGCCAGAACTGTTTCAGCACTGGAGATGTCAGGTTATAGTTTTCCGATGCCCCCCGGTCTCGAACCTCAGTCCCCCGGCGAGGCTCACATCAAGAGACCGATGAACGCATTCATGGTATGGTCGCGTATTCAGCGGAGGAAGATTGCTTTGGACAACCCTAAAATGCACAATTCTGAGATATCGAAGAGATTAGGAGCCGAATGGAAGTTATTGACGGAGGCAGAGAAGAGGCCGTTCATCGACGAAGCCAAGAGGTTGAGGGCCATGCACATGAAGGAGCACCCGGACTACAAGTACAGACCTCGGAGGAAGCCCAAGGCACCAGGACAGCATCCACAGATGAAACCCGCGGGCCCCGGAAGCGGAGGCGGCCCCTTTGCTAGCTTCCCACTTGGACCATACTTCGCTGGCTCTCAACACCACCATCCTCTGGAAGGTCTGGGTGCTGCGTACTCACCGCTGCCGCCCTACTTCGGATCTGCCTTCGACGCCGTCAACTTTAACAAACTGGTCCAAAACGGCAGCCATCAAGACTCCAACAAGGCCGCTGCAGTCGTGAGTTCGTTCTATTCCTCTCTCTATCCTGGGCAAAAGTCTTTCGGACCACCGCCTCCACCTCTTTCAGCCTTGTTCCAGCCTCCTCCTCATTTCCTCTTTGGGGGTGGACAATCCCCGGGCTCTAGCCCTACAGAACAAGCTATCACGCCGACTTCAGTCGCGTCAGGACCGCCACCGCTCGACATGGATGGTCTCCGAAGGCCCATGCCATTAATATACTAAATAGTGTGTGCGTGTATGTGATCTGTGCCGTTGTGATCTCGTTCCCAAGGTAAGACAGAGTTTTTTTCAAGTGGATCATCTAGTCATTATAATACTGTAGCTGTCAAGGGGTGGAGCACTCCCAGAAGCGGCTGGTGTCAGGTCTTTCATAACTTTAAAAATATGTAAGTCTGTTAATTCCCTATAGTTGATTTTTTATCGTTTTCTTAATTTGTTTTAAAATCTTAATTCTGGTGTAGATTATAAAAATTTGAAGATAGTGATTTGTCGGTTATTATGAATAACCTGTCAACATAGATATATTTGTAGCAATGTTCACCCAATTCTTACATAGTCTTCTATATGAATCCTCATGTTGAGTAAAGTTAATAATTTATCGCTGTAAATACATATAGAGTATGTCTAAAAAGTAACAAACATCTATAATTGAACAATGTTTTTAAGATGTAAATAGTTGTAAAAATGTTCGCTTCTGACAGCCGTGGGACCAAGCGACCATGCTCCCTGACCTACCGACCCACTTGTCATTATTAGGCCTCACAAATTGAAGACCTCTAAATAATAGTCTTGAAGAAATAAATATTTAATCATTAGGCTCTAATCATTCATTTGGCTTATTGAGAACATATAAATTATATTAACTATTAAGTGTACTTTCGATTTGTAATGTCCTGTATAAGAAATGTTATTTCTTAACGTGAATGTAACGAGACAAACTATTCTCTTATATAAAGGCTTTTAATGTTGTACTTAGTGTAGTTATGTATGCTTATATGTATCTCTAAAAGACAAAAATAAGTGAATTATTAATTGAAGTACAATTTGAAAGATCGAAATACTTTCATTTTATTTGTTGTTTTATTATGATATTTTTTTGTTCCTGTATTATTTTTATTGTCTATATTGTTGGAAAGTTATACTGTATATATGTATGCATAAGACTCGCCAAAGTATTTATTGTGTATATATGCTGCTACTTTGTCATATCGTACATGTATAATTTGTATAATAAAATTCATTGTTTTGTTTTAATCATTTTTTTTCTGTTACACATAACTCCTATATACAGAATTTTATATAAACCATTAAATTTTTGAAAAAGGTAAGGCAAAAATGGTTTATATTTTGCTAATAAAAACTGGACCATTTTATTCCATCATAAAAAAAAGAATTATAATAAAAAAATAAAATCCTCCAAAATTTGTTGATTACTCAAAAAACGAATATATTTTGAGACATTCTGAAATTTATTTTAGCACCAAAAGTAAATTTTTGACGGACGGTTAGGATATTTGATTAAAATTAACACCCTTTGGTAATTATTTATTAAAAGGGAATTTAAATATAATTACATTTAATCTATATTAAAAAAAAAAAAATTACAAGAAAATCTGAACAATGGGTAATTTTCTTAGAGCCCATGGTCCTTACTTGACAAATATTTTAAACTGAATTACCTGTTAGTCCTTATTTCCAGGTACTTTTAAAAGCCTTCACAGGTGTATGCAAATTTAAAACAGCCTTAATTTTCTTGCTATTGTTAGTTGAATTTCCAGTTTGGAATAGGAACCCATACCACCATTCATAATAAGAATATATATATATATATTTTTTTTTTTCTGCTATACTCATTTTAACAAGACATTTTTATTTACACATCAGAAATCACAATTCCAGAAAGAAAACAAAAAATGTTTTATTATAATTTCATAACCCGATTGATTTAATAAAACACTATCAGTAATTTTCTATGTCTTCAATTGTCATCCATGTGTAAACTAAGTGGCCGTCAGATATGCTGGGCTGTTTGCTGAGACTACAACGGCTCAAAAGAAATAATTCGTTTGGAAAGTGTTCCCTTGTAGGACTCCCTTTGTGTGCCCAGCCAGCAGATGTCCCGCTGAGGAGAGAATGAAAAAATAGGTTGCAGCTTCTGTCCCCGAGAGCTCTTATAAATAAGTCAATATCCGACAGATCGTTGAACTCAACCTTGTTATTTCAGTCGATTTTCTTCAACAGGCACCAGCCTGTCATCACAAGGGTCGTTTCTTTCCTTCACGAGGCATAATGTATTGTATTTGCACACACAAAAACAAAAAAAAAAAAAAAAAAAAATCATTCATTAATACTTTTTTACCTATATCCAAAAGTATTTAGCTTTATTTTTAAAAACCAAGAAAGCTTTGAATAGAGTAGTGTATTAAATATGTCAACTGTTAAAATCAAATTGGAAAAATTTACCTCTTTAAAATTATATTGATTAATATGAAGAGGAAGAAACGGATTTGCATGATAGTTAACGTTCTCCATGTTTTTAATTTTAAAAATTTTCCAATTTTGTTTTTTAAAATTCATATGACGTATAAAATATGAAAATAAAAACGGTAGAAAATTAAATGATTAGTTTTATTTAAATTAATGCCATTTACCACTGAAATATATTATTAATTAGTATTAAATACCTATTCCCATTTGAAAAAAAACTTTAAATATGCCTTTTATTAAATAAATACTTTGAAAAATAATGTAATCCTTAAAATTTTGACATTTTGTATGCTATCAAACCTTCTTTAAAAAAATGGGAACAAAACCAAATTAGCCAACATTAAAATGATTTTTATTTTATATTTTATAGTCATTAAAAAAAGAAATTTTGTGATTGTATATAAAAATGGAAATGAATGAAAAATTAATTTATTGAGTAGTATTCTATGTACATACCTAAATTAAGAAAACTTTTTTTTGAAGTAATATTTTTATAGGAATAATATATATATATATATATATATATATATATATATATATATATATATATATATATATATATATATTTTTTAAAGAACAATAATTGTCAAAAATCGGCTGTTGGACGAGACGTTAGAAAATGATAATTTTTAAATGCTTGTGAAAATGTGAAATAAAAACTGTGTTTAAAATAAGGATTATGGAAAATAAATAATCACATATAGATTCAATATAATAATGAAAAAAATAACTGTATTGTGGGGCTACTGTCCCTTAAGAATAATAAGAAAGTTCCATAATTATGAACATTAGTCTGGCTTACAGTATACAATATGATGTTTAATTAACTGTTAATAGCAATTGAAATTGCACTTGATTGAATTATGCAATGAATTATAGAGGCAAGTAGATTTTACATGTATCAGGATGTTTGAGTATGAAGTAGGTGATGGAATTGGAGTTGTTTGAAGGAATTTATGGAGGATGATTGACGTATGGAGGTATATGGTCACACATTTTTGATTTACAATATTAAAACTTATCTATATTAAATTTGTTCACATTCAAAATTAATATGTGGCAGTTAAGTCACATGATAAAGAAAGTAAGTCAAATAATAATTTTGCTATTACATCGAAATGTATAAGATTTTCATTACGTTTTATTATTTGTATTAAAACTACATTTATTGAAAAATATTACATTCTGTCTCAATTAAAGACAATTATAATAGGATGATTGGAGAGGACATTCACACCATATTTACAGAAAATATAAATAAATAAATTAGGTAACAGCAATATAATACATAGAAATAAGAACAAAATATCCATTAAAATAAAAAAATTAACTTCAAGAAGGGAAATATCCATGCTGAATTTAATTTAATTAATTGATAATTGATCCATGCTGAATTTAATTTACTCGTACACTATTTACAATCAGCCAATTGAACTCCTAACCAGTATTGTTTCCCACTTGTGGAGGGAAATGCGAGGGTTCAAGAGACCTCAGCGCTTCTTCCTCAACATTATTAAAGTTATTAGTATTAAAAGCTAGTGGAGATTAAGTAAGGGATATTAGGTTATAACCACATACTCTCATGCCATGAGTACAGAATCTGGTCATTGCCGGAACTTCAATATATTCATATTGATAGATTTCACTAGATAGGGATAATGTTAAGGATACGGATGATGTGTAAGGTTTAATGTTACAAAATGTAGCTGTCCACTACAATCCCATATCATAACGGAGGATGGAGGATGGCCGAGTGGGCTAACGCGTGTGCACATCATCAAGTTACCCGGCAACCTGATGGAAGGTAATTAGATAAAAAAAATTACGAATTCGCGTCCCGGTGCTTGGAGGGCTTTTTAACTCTGACATCCCCCGTTCTCACTCTCTTGCTCGGGAAAACTCTGTATAGCCTAAAAAGCGAGGAAGGAGAGAACAAAAACATATCGACGGTGAAGTTTTAGTCTTTTAAGTCTCGTATGTGGATTCCATGTTAGTCTTCTAACTAAAAGAAAACCAAAATTCCAGACTCTAAATAAAAGTAGAGGACTCTAGATAGATTTATAATAAATTGGTGGACAGAATTTCCAACGATGGGTGAAGGTGATATATTTGGATTTGGATGAATTTACTTGAATGTGGCCATTATTGCCTTTGTAGGTTTAAATATACTGTTTCAGGATCTGAGTAGGATGATAGGATGGCAGTATCATCAGCGAATGCTGCATAAAGAGTATCGGATTGAATAGGAATATCTTCGGTAAAGAGAATGTAAATGAAGAGACACAAGACACTACTCTGAGGAACATCGGTCTCAACTTGATAGCTATTGGAAAATTTTGTGTCATAGCGAACCCAAAAATTGCGGTCAGGACTGTAGGAGCGGAGGATTAAGTAAAAGGATTGGAATTGATGGGTTTCAATATTCGGCCAAAAGTGTGCATCATGTCCAGCAATGAACCCGAGCAGTACTGTCAGCTTTCTAGGGCTGAAGATATATAGTCAATTACTCTGAGTCCTTTTTGGACAGTGGAGTATGAAAAAAAATGGGTAGGAATGTTTTGGGGCTCTATTAAGGGTAGGCTGCATTTCAATTTGAATGTCAGTATGCATGGATAAGGAAGATTCACTCCAAAATGTGGCAAATGATTAATATTAGACTTCTATAATTATAAATAACCAATATTATCGTCAAGTAGAAGACCAAGAGGCTCTCTGATTGGTTTGTCTATCCATTTCTATTATAAGTAAAGTTTTGGAGAATCTACAGTTCAAGATAATACAGTCAGTCAAAATGACAGTGAGCCATCCACGATTGTAAGGATCCATCAAAGGTAGGACTTGCTGATGCCTGAAGTCTGCTACTAAGGCGGAGAGGGGTGTCATCCAATTCCTGTTTGATATATTAGCCCTGGAGCAAGGGCCCAAAAATCGACCTGATCGCAGGCGAAGTTTTGATTGTAATTTACGAAAATGTATGTTATTCTGAGTAAAAAGAACCTTGTCTGCCGTTCCAGAGCCGCTTATTTGAAGAATATGAGGCCAATAATTTGGGGATCAAAACGGGAAATCCATTGCGAAAAATGTGAGAAATTTTTTAATTTTTTCAACTTGTATATATGGGTTTAGACATGGAAAAAACAAAATTTCTAACGCGGTTCACCAACGAAAAACTTTTTACAGCTAAAAAAGTCAGATTTTTTTTGTTTTTTCACCTATAACTCCTAAACGATGCATAAAAGCGAAAAATATATTCTTTAATAAATTAAAGAACGTTTAATTTAGCGTCAAACGAGTACATAAACATTATAATTTGGTTACGAGGTAAGGTATAAAACCACGGTCAACAACCGCTGATTTTTACCAAATTTTTCAAAAACTGAGACAAACAAATGACTGATATCATCAAATTATAAGTAAACTGAGTACCAACTAATTAAATGTAGGTCACTTACTGCGAACAAAATCAGAAATCTCCTGATGGTTAGAAATTGGTAATGAAGGTAAACATGATTTTCAATATTTCAACAGTATGGGTGTCTATTCTTCTGAGTTATTTTTCTTTAGAGTGTGTTACATGCAGTATAAGCCTCTTTTCCACTTCTCAACAGCAAAGGATTTTGGTAAACGACGTGTCGAAAGATACCGAATTTCATAAAGAATTACAGAATCCCGATT